GTTTTATTTGACCAAGAAATATGTTTTCTTAAAGATGCAGTAAATTGGAATTTAAATGTGGTCATGATTAATCCTTTATGGGTGTTTAGGTTTGTGCCATTTGTTAGCGCTGAGCTACAGGTATTATTTTATTTAATATTACAGTGCCAACAAATTTATATTACTCCATCAAGCTAAATCGTATAGACAATATCGTATGTCATATCTCCAAATATAATGGAACTAGGAGTTCTTCATATATTCAGTGTTTATATATATCGTATATCATATCTCCAAATATAATGGAACTACAAGTTCTTCATATTCAGTGTTTTCATATTTCATGCTCAATCAAGAAGATAATTATTGAAGATATAATATGGGTTTCATTTAAAAGTTTCATCCCAGAGAGAGCGTGCGAGTGAGTGCAGAGCAGAGCAGATGACATATCAGATGTATTTAATTGCTCGCTACGAAATTGATTTTTCCTCTTCCCTCGTCAGAAATAATTCATGAATTCTGGTCCTCATCTCGTGGCATCGACACTTGACCCTTTTCACATCACAATCTCATAGAGCTGTATTCCCCAATATGTGTTTGTTGAATCATTAAGAGTCTCTGAATTAAAACAACTCATTAGGCCAAATAAAAATAAAACATGTTTAGCGTCCTGCCTTTTTGAAAAATGGGAAGGAGGAGGCCCCCCCTTTTTTCTTCTTCAAAATGGCTGCTCCGTACATTTTCCCTGACAGTCAGGCTATTTTTCAAGATGGCCGCCGGTAAAAGCCCCCCAAAGGAAGTCATTGCTATTAAAGATAAAGTTGAGTTCTGGTCATGTGATTGCATTGTGAAAGAAACGGTGTGGAATCTATCAGAAAAGATTGATCATCTAGTATATAAGTATTCGAGTGTATTGCAAGGTTCTTGAATCATCAAAATGATAAGAAATTTGGCCAAATCTTGGCAAAGTTACAAGCACTGTACACAGAATGATGTATATGGGACTACACGAGCACATGGCGAAAAAAACCTACCCCCCGATTTTTACGATGTTTCATGTCATATTTAGAATATGATGGCATTTGAAGAGCCATGCTTTTCAGGGAACATGTTTAATCTGATGTTCTTCCACCCTTGCATAATAACAATGATAACGCTCACAAATTATTTTTTACCTCTTCCCAGAACTCAACCTTCTCTTTAAAATCATTGCTAAACATGATTAAATTTTTTTTTTTTTTTAATGGCCTTATAGGTTTTTAGATTTTAGGTGCCCATGCTGTGTCCCAGGCACCTGTTATAATAATAGTATGCCTAGTATGATTACAGAAAATACACATGTTGTAGTAGAGGGTGGATTGTCCCAGCTGAGGATTTAGCTTTGGAAATAGGTATAAACTTTGAGATATTTGAAATTCAGATGCTGTACTTTATCTCATCACAGCCAAGTTGATGAAGCTAGGAGCCTTTAAAGCAGGTGCTATCATCTTCTGTGATACCTCTATCAATGAGTGAATTCAATTAGCATTTACAGGATCGTTTATCCACCCGCTCACATCCTCAGGAGGTTTTTATTTTCATTCAATCTGTCATTGCCTGAGCTTTCAAAGACATGCAGCCCCAGTTCAGACAACCAAAATTCATTGTATTGCTGTTCAAAAACTATACAGGTATATGATAAGTTATTGGATTATTTTCATAGTCTGAATGGCCTATAACAAAATGTTGTCGATCAAAACGTATGTTTTAGCAACATTTCAAAAACAAAAATTGATAAAGAATCTGAACCATTTCTCCTTAATGTTGCTTCATACTGGGAGGGGCTTATCTTGAGCGCACACTGATGATTGGTCAGCTGTCATGTCCGTTGGTCTCTTCAAAACCAGTTTCTTCATTCAACTTTTTCTTCATATGATATGTTTTATAACCCAATCCCTTTAAGTCAGTAGGTGTACAATGAGTCTTCATACACTTCTCCTTTTACAAGTTTAATATAATTTTCTTGTTGTCTAAACAGGACATGATATACGACTGGTTAGGCTCCTTGATGAGCTGCTTCCTTTATCCATCTTTAATGAAAATCTTACAAGATTGGGCCTTGCTTCAAGGAGAAATTAGGGTTCGACCATGCATCGTTTGGAGCCGCTTTCAAATTTTGGACTTGTACTTTCTGAAAAATCTCTCAACACTTCATGCACGCAAGAAATATCAGGGAGCATATCTACGATTTTTGTGATGGGAGCTCCAAGTGGATTCAGTAGAATGTTATTGGATTCAAGCTTATTTTATTAGGTTGGGAGAAGTGCTTACACTTACACCCATTTGTTGTGGTGAAGCATTATTAATATTAAGTCAAGCAAAGAAAGATGCATTTAGTGGTAACTATAAATAGTAAATTGCAGGAGCATACATCACCTATGTGGCGTGTTGTGGTAATAGTAAATTTGATTAACTACAATGTACAGTGCTGCACTTAAATTACATGCTGTGTATGATTTATCTTCTGAGAAGGAGAAGGGTATATCAACACCCATCATTTCACAAAATGGTTAACACACCTTCTGGCTCTCAACAGATGATATTGTTTGTTTGGAACCATAAGGGCATTAATTCTTGTGTTAGGTACTAGGTATATTAATTAATGCCCTTATAACTCTAAAGGGATGATATGATGAAACGGGTCATGATGGTGAATAAAAGAGCATCGATTGGGAAATTAGTATTCATTAGCAAACTGAATTTCAACGCATGAATATTCATGAAATGCCACTGATTTTCACTCCCTGGTGGCTGAGGTATACCTTTAAATACAAGAACTCGCCAGCAAATCACTGGAAGAATTCAATTAGTGTTGATTTTTTTTGGACGGCCAAGCTGGGAGAAAGAGCATCCTCATCCCTGTTGATATTCTCGGGAGGGTAATACCCGTTCGATCTGACATTCTAATTTACATGGCCGCCACTGGCTAAAACGACACAGGACATGAGGGGACCCAACGGTCAATTTCATTAGTAAGTTCTCCTCACTCGCACTTGGTTAGGATTAATAGATGCACCTTCGGTTTCAAGCGGCGAGGGTGTATGTTTTCATGAATTGGAGAAGGGATTGGAAGGGTGTGTTTACACGGGGGTATGTGATAAGGAGAGCTGTGCTTCTGGAGTAGCTATACATGTAGGTGCAACTTGTGTATGAGGGGTTGATGAACTACAAAGGCATCAGTGTGAATTGTCTTCTTGCTAAAATTTCTGAATGGGTTAGCGTTTAATCAGAGTTTGTAAGACATTGTTTCTATTTGAAGTAACTCAGAGGTGAAGACATTGGTAATCAATGTGTTTTCCTGCAGCAGTTTTCTTCTTCTGACATTTTTAATGCAGTGTTCATGTGATTCTTAAATATTTTGATATGAAATAAATACCACATGAATGATAAAATGCAATTATCATTTCTAAAATCATACTGAAATTTTCCTCTTAGAGTAATATATTTTAGTACTTAAAACCCCCTGATTGTTTATATTTGCATCATATTGAAATCACAAGTGAGATGAATGGTGACGTAAACAAACATTCTCATGGAATTGAGTTAGTTATACCTTCACATTGTAGCAATATGTATACCTTGAATCCAATATGAAACATAATCAAACTTTGAAGTGCATACTATCTATTGTTCTGCACAGATATTAGAACGTGATAGTCATATTCATATTCAATGCATATTGCCTGGTATGGTAATCAGTATCACATTAAAGATGTTAACTACCTTTGTTGTGCCCCAGGTAACAGTTTCATGCATGCTATGTCTAGTAGAAGGTGGAAAGAAGACATAATGGATACTGATAGAGAGCGTCAATTATGGGAAATGCTTCTACTGGGAAAATATTACTTTGGTCCATTTTATAGGTTATATGACATATTTACTATTTTTTTAATATTAGTGATTATTTTATCAATTTGGAGTAAGAATGGCATTGACTACTGTACTTTAACATGCAGTTAATGCCCATCTGGCTCTCAACAGACAATGTTATCTTCCATGTCTATGACGGATCATTTATTTTTATAGCTGACTATCGATCATTGTGTTCTCAAGAGTTTATTTTAATCTTGAGTTGGTGCTTGCAGCTACCAAAACATTATGATTGGAGTAAAAATTTCACTTCTGTGCTTAACCCATTTTTTCATACAAGCAAAGTGATGTCGTTATTATTCAGTTGCATAGTATCATATGTCGAGCATCAGGTTTCCCTATGCTTTTCATCTTATCATTCACTTACCCATAGCAGTGGTGGTAGTGTTTGTGATAATGAATAGCAGACAATCACAATTACTGTAATTTCCTTTGCAGTTTGCACATCAATTTCGACATTGTATTATTATTTTAGGGACAGAAAAGGAAGAATGAGATACAGAGGAGGAAAAGGGGGACTTGGGAAGAGAAAGAGCCAGGAAGAGGGGAGAAGAGATGAAAATAGAAGAAGAGAGAAAATACAACGGGAGAAAGAGAAGAGGAGAAAAGAAGGAAGAGAAGAAAAAGGGAGAATGACAGGGAGAAGGAAAGAGTGTGAGAGAAAGAGAGAGAGAGAGAGAGAGAGAGAAAGAGGGAGAGAGAGAGAGGGAGAGGAGAAATGTAATTTCATTCACAAATGGAAGGAGACACTCTTGTCAATGAGTCAGCAGGGCATTTTTATGTAGCGCCATCTGTTGAAATAAATCATTTAGTTTCAATGTTATTTTGATATAATATTGATAAAGTTGCTGAATAGCTTTCAAACTTCACAGAGAATGCAATTAATTTTATGACATTAAACATAGAAATCTCAGGGAAATATCTTAATACTGTCTTTGACTTATAAAGAAAGCAATATCTTAGGCAAACTATAAAGTACTTGTTGATCTATTGTGGAAAAAACAAAACAAAACTGCATGCAAAAGGAAAGCTTAGTACGTTATCATGGTATTTCATGAGAAAGAGGATTTTATTTCATTTCGTGACTTTTTTTTCTCATTTTTTTTCACCAGGCAAATCGAGATGGATACGAAAAAGGCAAACTACAGTGATACGTGCCACCACATTGATGGGATGCTGAATAACCTAGAGGATGGGAGGAGTAAGCTGGATGACCTATGGGCCACGAGGAGGCTCAAACTAGAGCTATGTCTGCAGCTCAGGCATTTTGAAAGAGATGCATTAGAGGTGAGATTAGTAAAGGGTCAAGTTCGTTTTAAAAGTAGTGTAAAATGGTGTAAAAATAGTGTAAAAATAGTGTTAAAATAGTGTACAAATAGTGTTAGAATAGTGTACAAATAGTGTACAAATAGAGTATAGAGTTGAAATAATGATTTTCATCAAATTCAAATTGAAGGACAAGTACTGAGCAAAGAAGAGAACGAGAGTCTTCAAGTGGTATAGTTTTTGGCAAATTGTGACATTGTGAGGAAACAAGAAATGTCTCCAGAGTATGAGAGGAAGGCTTAGCAAGAAATCATTAAAGAAGAAATAAAAGACTACATATAGTCTATAACTTTGATTTTAAAATGTACATTAGCGAGTAAACCAAGACAAAATTGAGGTGTTGTAGACTAGGAACGATGAAATTATCCAGTAAGGTTTATTTTTTTAATATCAAGAAAAATAAAGCCTTAAAGGAGGAAAATATTTGGAATCAGATAGGGATGAGAAAGAATGACTCAAAGATGAAGGGAAATAAATGAATATTACCAATATTGTTATTTGTCATTATTATTTGTATTTCAGCTTCTGAGTCAGCTGCCAATTTGGACGCAAGAGATGCACAATAGGGATTACAGCTTTGATCTGGACGCAGCTGATTTCATTTTAAAGAGTCATTTAGAGCTGGTAGAAAGTATTCAAGAAAACACAGTACAACTCATTCAAAAGGTAAGAAAGTTTCCTTTATGTTTAAGTGGTCTATACATTTATTTATTATCTTGTATCATTTTGAGAATAATATGACGGCTGATGTCTCAGTCACTCTGCAATATTGACAAAAAATAACAGATTCTTGGCCATTGAGGGTCATCCTTTCAGTCTATTTTCGGTCTGTTGTCAGTCATGGTGTGATTAGTATGTTGGATATTCTTTTAAATAACAATTTGATTACCCAAGACATCGGATCATATCATATGTGCAACACAGTATGTGCACCATCTCCATTCCTTGGGGAATATTCATTGTCTTTACACAGTACATACACCTGCAGGTATGACAGAGAGTTGCAGATTTCCTGATATAGAGGCTTTCACACAATGAGCTGATATGAATCCACCGACATAATTATGCCGTAGGCCCTTTTTCATCAGAGATATATACTGTGGGGTAAGGGTTGCAATTGGGTTTAAGGTTAGGTTTAGGCTAGGATGTGGTATAGAGGCAGGTCCAGGGTTGCATTTAGGAATGTTGCTGCGAAAGCATGTACCATAAACCTTTGCACACATCATATAAGGTTACCATTTCTTATGAGGATATGTAAATATAACTTATTGTCCATATCAGGAAATTTGTCTTCTGTTGGTTGGCATACATAATTAATACAATATATGTTGTACCTTTTGTTGTTTATTCAGTCATGCTATGCTAAATTCAAACCAGATTTGGGAATTTGATTTAGTTCCTGGACCATTCAATCAATGAGTATATTTCCAATGACACATTTTCTGTACCACTTCACTTCCATTTCTCTTACATGTGCAAATTGTTGAACAATCCGGAAGCTCATCTTTCAAATCTTTAATAGCTACGTTTCAGCAATAGTTTCTCTGTTCACAACACTGATAGTTGCTCTAAATCTTCAGTGAACGAAAAATAATGCTTTCTCATTACACCACCAATAAATAAAGCTTGTGTGAAACTTGACCTCTTCCCAATGTCTGCTCTAAAAATTGTGAAAATTACATCAACTGACCCTCATCACATGGAGAACTACAACTTTTACGTCAGTTCATGTATGGCTTTCTGCAGCTCTGATGCTGGTAACGTTATCTCAAGTTGCTGGTAGTAACAAAAACACTGCACTTATCATATAGCAGCTGATCTATTATTAATTACCTGACTTGTGCTATCCCTTCTGTGAATTCATGAGGATATACAACATACTGTAGGAAGTACTTGGCTGTTTTTCAGTTCTTGCAAAGAATGATTTCTACTTTTGATATTATTGTCATGATTGACACAACATGGAAATACCAGTCGGTCAAACTGTTGTGAAGAATGCTTGACTCGTGGCATGGGTTCATATTGATGCACAGAATCTACATTCAGGCCTGTCTACATTATACATGTATTATCAGGAGAAAGTGTTAAACAACTCCACATTTCCTCGTTTTTGAAAGACACGGACCCAGTGAAAGTTTAGAACATGGAGCAAATACATAAGTGCTTTTGCATGGATACCATGTTGATGTGTGGAAGCAGAAATGAAGGGATTCAAGCCTATTGTTGCTGAATGGGATCTTTCAATTTTAAATATTTGTGTGTTCATTTGTGCAATGACATGCATGTTTGCATCAATGTTATCATGTGACTTGAAATACTACCAAGGATTTCTACATCTAGATGGGCAATTCTAGAAATTGTGATTGTCTAGCATTTCACTTCACCGACATCAAGTAATTTGAATTGTGGATGGAACTAATCTACAGCTATGTCTTTGAGGAAGATTTCTAGATCCAAATCCAGAAAGGTGTGTATTGTGTAATGATATCATAATGATTCATATTGTAACCCATTCACACTAACAAGATCAACAGCAGACCGACCTAAAGACCGAACAAACCAAATAACATTACCCCAAATGGCCCAAAATTGGTTGGGTTGGAGTCGATGTAGAGTTGGTTTTATGCTCATTATTCTCCTTCATTCTCATTATTTGGCTCTTTGTTTCAATGTTTGCATACTTCTATTGTATTAAGGTATAATACTTGTTTTAATATTAATCTCCCAAGCTGAAATTTAAAAAGGGGAGTATCTGTTAAAGGGCCTTTTAAGGTGTGAATCTAAAGGCCACCACACATTCTACAATCTGACAACGATTAGCTTTTGGAAGAATTTGTAAAGCACTTGATTCAATCACTCAGACTTGTAAAATCTTAATGACGGAGGATCTGAATACTAGTGAATAGTCATATGATTAAGAAAATCTAAATTTCAAAGGACTTCATGTTTCTTTGGAAAAGGAAAAGCTAAATCGGCTCAGAATTGTAGTGATGGCAGACCAGTAGTGCCATTGTCTACGAAAATCCTGGTTGTTAGTATTCTTATCATGATTTAGAAGCTACATGTAATCAGGACGATGAAATTGTTTAGGATTTTCTGTCTAATACAATTGCAATCTCTTCAAAAGTTGAATCGCAGAGTGATCATGCAATGTGCAGTGGGCCTAAACTATCTGCCTTTCATGTACATCATTTATCTATGGTGTAGTTTTAGATACATATGATTGACGTTCTATCATGACTTCAAGGTGATATATGACAGCGTCCAACAAAAGTAAGAACTATCTGCAATTTAATTATGCGCTGTAAAAACTAAAGTAGATCAATCTAAAGGCCATATTAATCTCCTGTTTTGCCATGGCTTAGGTCATGCTGTGTGAGATAGGTACGGTCAATTACATTTATAGGACAGACCGCCTGTTTATATATACGCACAGCCAATGAGATAATTGTGGGTACCATAGGTATTGGAGCCTTGCACAAATTAATTAGCTCTCAATTCACTTGTCATGACCGTTGGAAAGCCTGATGTAGTGCTTGATCAAGAGGATTGGTTACAGATGAATGGTATCAAAGCGGATCAATAATTGCATTTCCTTGCCTTTAATTTAGACAAAGGGAAAGAACAATCGCTTGTTTAAGGTGAATGATTGAAAAAATACAGTTGCCATGCAGAGTGATTACAAATATATAAAATAGTATGAATGAAATTCTTTTGTGTATTTGATTAATCCAATTGGGCCTATATCTTTCAAAATTCATAACATAAAAATAAAACATTGTTGTTATTGACAGATATTTTGGGATTGCATTGATACCAAGCGTTTGAAATGAAAATTCCTTAAATCATGAAATGTTGCAATAAATGAAAGAACAGAAAGATAGACTTAATTGTACCTGTACCTGTACATGTAACCATTAGAATATGGTCATCTTTATTTAACTATTACAGGAAGTGTCTCATATTCCTCGAAGTACTATTGTCATAACAATATATCATTATGAATCCTTGCTAAATTAATCATCACTGCTTCAATACCTCAGTGTGGAAATGCAAATTTGTGCACGCATCCTTGGGTTGGTATAAACTATCGCTACAACCCGATTACTCTCCAATTGTCAATCAACCAACACCAGGTCATCATTAAATATAGCGGACTGACTGGACAAAATCAAACTCTATCCAGCTCTAGATACAGTTAATGGAATTGAATCATACGCGGCCAAATCTCCCTGACTTCCACCACTGCATTCATTCATATGACTGAAGAGGGAGGAAGCGTAGTAATATTTGATCATAAATCCTCATTAAATGCCAATTAATTTGGGATGTCTCTTCGACCTGTCATCAATGGCTTGATGTAAATTGTTTGTATTACAATGGTAGCATCCTCGTCATGTATGCATCATCTTGGAGAAGCAACAGGGTTCACATGCATTCTCGTTCGGATACCGTTCCTCAATTGAACTCTGGCATCATCCTGCTCAACATTGGTTTTATTTCAGCTTTTGGGGATTTTTCTGCACCTTAAAGGACACCTTTTTAACATTTGTGACACTACTTTGCATGTTAGTAACGATGGACATAGGATGTACCGTAGGCTAATAAGTGAAACACCCTACAATACATTTGTTCAGATTAATTATCTGATATTTTGAAGGTTACCGTTCCGAAATGAAAATGGATGCTTTATTTGTCTATTTGTGTTGACGTTAATATACACCAATGGATGAGTGATTTAAACAAACTAATGAGACAATTGTTATAGTGTCCTTGGGAGCCTCAGATGCAATGTAGTATTATCTGATACAATTTCAGCAGCCATGCTTTTGTTTTGCTGTTTTGTACTGTTTTGCCGGATACATCCTTTGCCTGATGTTTGTTTATTGCCAAGCGAAAGCTGTCATTAATATGCAGTATTTGTTTGCTTACTAGTTGTTACACCCGTTATGTTGACAAAGATTCCATGGATGACTAGACCACCAGGTTCAGGAATTATGATTTTCTACCGCATGGTTTTGAAATTAATCCCATGTCGTGGGTGCTTAATTAACTAAAACACGCTGCATACAACAATTTGTTTTGTTTTCATATTGCTCTTTTTTTACCTTCTTTCTTTCTACAAATGTCATCGTCTTTGGAGCATTAAATGGACAGTAATTGTAGTAATAGATACCATGGCTTGGAGGCACTTCTTTCTAATTCTGTAACTTTTGATATCATAAATGGATTTGGACGTAACCATAACTTGCTGTGCCGCAGGGCACTGTTGCAGCTTTTAGCCTGGAATGTGATTTGTAGCAGGATGTACGGACACTCGCATGTAATGGTCAGCGGTCTGTTTTTGTTGGTAAATGTTTAGCTCTTCGCGTAGAGGGATCGTCTTACTTTGCTAGATAAGCAGGACATGGAATTGGTAATAATAAATGTAGTCAAATAGTGTTTTGTGTGTATTATTCAAAGAAATATGGAAATTTAATGACAGGTCATGGATGAGCTGAACTACGAATTGAATAAATGTATATTTACAATATGATTTGTACTTTTTAGTATCAAAGTGTGATCAAAATGTGACATTTCTTTTTGTTCATTTTAATTATTGAAGCACAATTTCTCACTATGCATGACAGCCGCCAAATATAACGTAGGAATATTTATATACCAAGAATTATAACAATATTGGAATTATTTACATGGATATTCCCTTCAATGCATGTGCACAGGAACACTGATGATAGTAGACTTTTTAGAGTATAAAGAGTAGTTGGGATTTCAATGCATCACACACTATAGTAGACATACATAATGTAGATCTGTCTCTGTTGTGAAATCCATTTGAGAGCATTACCAACTTGTGTAGTTACTAGATTAAGATTTGGAAGCAATAACTATGTGAAAGACTTCAAAGAGATGAACATACAGCCAACAACTGAATTATTCATTTTCAAGTTTTGTCAAGTTGTAATTGTGTGAAAATTGATTTGTTTACATTTCTTGAGAATATGACATATTAAAGCTTACATCTAAAAGCATTCAACAAAGGTCCTAACTCAACCAGTCCACCTTTCATACTTGAGTTACGAAAAACATAAAAACATCAAATTTACAAGGGTTATGATTAATTTAGATGTTAAGTGTATGTACATGTACATGCCTATGCAGATGACTGTCACTCTTGAAGTATTATTGGAAATGTTGTCAGGTGATAACTACATTCTTATAGATTAGTTGTCCACAAAGCAGGTCTTTTGACAGGTAGTCCGGTCAGTATATGGAAACAAATAACCTTACCCCAAAATTGCAACAAGGTTTTGTAACAGTTTCTGGTAGTGTTTGACATATGAACCAATATCCTCTAAATCTAAGAAAATCAGACCCCAGAAAATGGTTCAAAATGGCGTCCAATACATAAAATAGCCATAAATTATGATATATCCATTCTTTTGATAAGTAAATGATATCAGTTGAATCGTGGCATACCAGTCAATATGATGATGCAAGTTCATGATACATACCTATAAGTATGTGTTCTTCTGTTACTATGTCTATGAATTCATAGCAAATTGTCAAGAATTAGATATGTGGCATCTTTCTGTCGACACAGAATAGTGCTGATGAATTGTTTTTTAATAACAAAAATTAACTCCTCTAATACTCTAGTCACAAAGTACAATATTTGTGGGAAATACTCTGTCCCTTAGATAGGATGTTAAAACTGGAGGCCGCATGTTGAGGAGAGTCACCACTGTTGCATGTTAAGAACCCACTGTGTTATTCAAATAAGAGTAGGGGGAAAACCCTTCTGTGGTTGTCCACCTGCACATCCAAATCAATTATATCAGGAGGAGAGACCAGGGACCTGTTTCACAAAACTTGTCATCAGTGACAAATGACAGTTTTTATTATAAGCTACTGAAATCCTTGCTTCTGATTGGTTATCAGCAGATTTGTCACTGATTTTTGTCATTTGTCATTGAAAAAAGGCTTTGTGAAACGGGTCCCAGATGGTTACAGTGATTCATTTCGCTCCCCCCCCCCCCCCAGGCACAGATGATGCCAAATACTTAACAACAACAACAACAACTACAATGTCTGTTCTTTGTTTTGTTCCCCCATGACAGGGCCGAGACCTGGTGCAGCTCTTTGACTCCGCGGGGAAGGTCTCCATGAGGACAGGCTCCATCCCAGCTCAGACCCGGATCACAGTGCTCCTGGATGACATCAGGGATGCCTACCTGGAGCTGGAGGATGTGTCAGAGAGTAGAAGGATCCAGCTGGAGCAATGCAGGGACCTCAGACAGTTTGAGGTCGATGCTGAACAGGTAATGGGGATAGTGATTCCTTTCTGAATTTATAAACGGTCTTTGAAAACATGCTGTAGATGAGCATGGTAAATTAGTCTTTAACAGACGTTTGACAAATTTGGAAACTTAGAAGGCCTTTAAAAAGCAAGTAGTGAACATGCTATCTATTCATTGATCAGGCTCAGATTTCCAATGTTCATGTATCATTGACAAACTTGTCAAAAAAGGATTTACAAATTGCCTGAAAGGCCTAATGACTGTTTTTGATGGAACATGCAGGATCATGTATCTCTACTCCTGTCATTTGACTCCTGGAAACAAGGTGCATTGATGCTTTGATTTTTCTTGCCTCAAAGTATTTTGGGCATTTCAAGATAATCTTCTTTTAAAAAATAATTCCTTGAGATTTCACTCTGGTCTGCTTTTCTTCAGGAAATATGTCCATACAATCCATTTAAATTAAACAAAATTGTCAAAATTGTGCTTTTCAATGTTCTTTATGCTGCATTAAGGATTTACAAAATGCCTGAAAGGCCTAATGACTTTATTTAGTATCTGGTATTATATGTGAAAATGATTATGGCATTTTTCTATTTTGCTATACAGTTTATAAAATTAATAGTCACCTTGAGAAATATATTTGCTCCGAAATAAAAAAAAAAAAAATGGTGAGGATTATATGATATTTATGTTTGTTTGTTGCTGTTAGGTTGAGACCTGGATCCACACTGCTGAGAAGATGCTGGCCGTAGCTGCTATACCAAACTCACTCAATGAGGCAGAGCAACTACAGGCAGAACATCAGCAGTTTGAACTCGCTATAGAGGTAAGGAGGATGATAGGGGAGGGTGTTTGTGGTGGTGGTGGTGGTGGTAGTGGGGGTGGAGGAGGTAGTGAGGGAGGGGGATGGTGGATGGTGGTGATAATAGAAATGTTCATGATTATGATTGTGATGACCATGATTGTGATGATGATGTAGTCAATAGGATGATGATGATGATGTTGGGGTGGTGGTACAAGGGGTAGCGGTGGGGATGATGATAGTGATTTTGGTTATGATGTTGGAGTTGGTAGTGATGATGGCGATAATTATAATGATGATTAGATGATCATGATGGTGGTTGTGGTCAGTTTGGTTTGGTGACTATGATAACAATGGAGGTGTTGCTGATGGTGGTATTCATGTTGGCACGGATGATGGCGAGAGGGATGTTGATGTTGGTAGATGTGGTCATTGAATCGGGGTCATCAAATAGCTGAGTTTTAGTGGTAGCAATATTGATTACAGATTTGTGGGCTTATGATGGTGAATGTGATGATGAAATTGACAACAATCATTGTGGTGGTATGAAAGATCTTATTGGTCTTCAATATATAAATAGACCAGATTCACACCCTGAAAGTGACAGCATTCTTCACCATTCATTTACAGAAAACCCAAGAAAGTGCAATACGTCTCCACGACACTGCCTACAAGCTCCTAGAATCAAGACATTATGATTCAGAGAGGATACAGGGAATCGCCTCCAGTATTGAGAGAAGATGGCAAGCCCTTGTCATGCAATCGGAGGACAGGAGGAAACTCTTTCAGTATGCTGCCAGCTTCTACAAGACTTCAGAACAGGTGAGTAGGAGGAGGGTTTGGAGAATTAAAACTGAAACATAATTTAGTCATTGGTATTCATAGGGGCATTTGTTACAAGGGGAAGGGGGCTTTAGGGTTGGTTTAGGGATAGGAAGATGGCAAGCCTTAGTCATGCAAACAGAAGACAGGAGGAAACTCTTTCAGTACGCTGCCAGCTTCTACAAGACTTCAGAACAGGTGAGTAGGAGGAGAGTATAGAGAATTAAAATGGGTGGATGAATAGAAGTTAGTTATTGGTATTAGGGGCATATGATACAGGAGAGTTTTAGGATTGATTTAGGGATAAGTATATGTCAAGCCCCTGTCCTGCAATTGGAAGAGAGGAGGAAACTGTTTCAGTATGCTGCCTGCTTCTACCAGACTTTAGAACAAGTGAGGTGGTTAGTTGAGATGGAAAGATGGATGGAAATCTTTGTGTAACTATGTCCATATCATGTATTAATGCATTGGCATTAGGTTTGTGTTTTTTTTTGTTCAGGAGGGTTAGTGGTTAGTTTATTTCTAGGATGAGAAGATGATAAGCTAATGATGTACATGAGCAGGTTAGAAAGAGATTGAAATGATTATTTGAGGAATATATAATGGGTTATTGTCATTGATCTAAATGTGAGATTAGACAGGGAGAGGGAGCAAAATCAAAAGAAAGACATTTTGGAGACAAAAAGGGGGTGTGCAAGTTCAAGGGCCCCCAAAACAAAGAAACAGAGATAAATCAAATATACATGTATCTTGAAAAGTGGATATTCTATGGTTTTAATTCATATTGCAAAAAAAAAATGCTATGCATGGAGGAATGGATTTTGTACCAATGACTGATAAAACACTGTCATTAAATGACTCTTCTCTGAATATACTCATCTATCCCAGGTGCAATCGGTGTTAGAGGATCTAGAGAGGGAGTACACCAGGGAGGAGGACCTCTGCGGTGGGGGCAGCGGTGACCGTTCCCCTCCCCAGGTCAGCGACGCGGACATCGCCAAGCACATGAGCCGCCATCAGGACCAGAAGGAAAGCTTCCTGAGGGCGTGTACCATGGCCAGGCGCAACGCAGAGAGCTTCCTCAAGTACCTCAAAAAGTGCAATGTTTACTCCAGCCAACAGGGCTCCACTATGGCTGACAGGACGAGAGGGCCGGAGGGTTACGTTAAAAGTAAGTGCTAATGCTCCAGAGCACCTCCTGCAAACAGACAAGTTCAAGACCTCATCTTTATATTAAAGTTGAATTGTATTGAGGTGCAGTTTCTGGTCCCCGTCTCGTACATAAGAGATAGGAGACTGCAAACTTGCGATTGATTGGAGGATTGCGATTGATTTGGATCAATTGCAACTCTATGTAAGCAAGGGCTCTGGTCTCAAGTTTGATTTCCAGCCATTTAGGTAATATAAGAGTACAACTGCTCCAGATTTGAAACCAAATAAGTACAAAAAGCACAGATGTGAAAACCTCCCAAGAGCATGAGATTTTGACCTATGTATATTTGTGATAAAATATAATGATATGCATTCCCTGGTTTCAATTGTCAGCTTCATTTCTTAGATCTGTGACATTCCAACATTTAATTATTCATCAATTGAAAAATGTGTTAATGAAAAAAGAAAGTTTTGCAACTTGAAATATATTCCAGGTATAGGGCCTTAAATGTGGTTACAGTGTATAAAACAAATATTGTTCGTACATTATTTGTGTAAATTGTTCTTTTTTCTTATCCTGATAATTTTTCATCTACATGTAGTTCGATTACATGTTTGCTGAATTGAGTAGAATAAAAGTCAATTTTCTAGATTCATAAAAGCATTGAATCCTAACAGTTTGTTGACTTTTTCATTTTATGTGTGTAACTATTTATTTTCTCTCTTGTCTTTCTATATCTCTCTTTCTCTTGTTTGAATTTATACAGGAATTTTAGAAGAGCTGCTCTTACAAGAAGACAAGGTGTTAGATCATTGGACTCAGAAGAAAAAAAGATTTGATCAATGCTTGCAATATGTCCTGTTTGAAGCCAGTGCTAGACAGGTAAGTCTATCAACATATGATACTTCTAAAAACTATTTTTTAACGTGCTATGAGAAATGAACATACAAAAGTTGTGAGGCCATGGAAAAGTGCCTGCAATGTCAGTTGGTTCAGCATCAGTCGTGTTTATGAATACTGGGTGATAGTTGTAAGTGATGTTCTTTGTGACAGCTGACCATATTTTAAACTCTTGCCCGACATTTTCAGTATATATTTGCTATATTGAATTTGTGGACATCTGCCTTTAACCAGATAAGAGCGGTGAACCCATTGCATACAGGAACCAGATGGACCCAGTATGAAGCCCTTGAGAAGTAGATAATTCAGTAGTTTTAAGATGGATTTCAATTCATTTATGAAATTAACTGAGCAAAATGAGTGATTTCAGCTTATTCATTTTATGGATTTATATATCTCTGTGAACTAACAATATGAGCTCTATGAACATTACATCTCCTAGGCATTAAACTGGATCCACGACACAGGAGAGTTCTATCTATCAACCCATACCAAACTGGGAGAGGATAAGGAAGAGACAGAGGGACTACTCACCGAGTACAATGAATTCAAGAGTGCTGCAAAGGTAAGTTAGATCTTATTATCTCTTGCGGCACCCCCTCTTCTGGAAGAAATTACCATTGGAGTAAGAAATGGCAGACTCTTTAAAAGTTGTTAGTCTAAATTGAACACTCTCTAGTCATGCTTATCACATGGATATTAGACTACCGTATTTACCGGCGTAAAGGCCGCACCGCCGTATAGGCCGCACCCCCGATTTTGACATTTAAAAAAAAAAAAAAAAAAAAAAAAAAAAAAAAAAAAAAAATTGTTTTTTTTTTTTTTTTTTTTTTTGGTTGTTGTTGATGTTTTGTTGCCGAAAACCCACGCGGGGAAGGACCTTCATTTAACATCGAGGTGCAGTTAAAGGCGCTGATTTGTGCTTGTAAACTTGTCACAAATAATAGTAACAATGTCGTTTTTAGAAGAATGTGTAAGATCATTAATGTAAATTAAACACAATAGAGTACCTATGGTACCAATGGTGTACCTTGTGGTACACCATTTGTTATAGAAAAAAAATTGAGGAATTATTATTATAAACTACATATTGAGATCTGTTAGAAAGATTACTTTCAAACAAAGATGACAGACAAATTTGAGTGTTGTTGTAGTTTCCGAGTGGTGAGTCAACACACTGATTACTGAGCTGGAAGACATTGCCAGGCATAGCGCCATAAATAAAATTATAAAAAAATAAAAAATAAATATTAAAAAAAAAAAAAAAAAAAAAAAAAAAAAAAAAAAAAAAAATCATTTTTTACTCTTTCGCCGCATAGGCCGCACCCCGACTTTTTGATATTTTCTCTTCCAAAAATACTGCGGCCTATACGCCGGCAAATACGGTAATTTTTTTTGCTTTTATCTTTTTCGTGTGAACTCTGGAATATTCTATTAAAGAGGATATCAACCTCATTGTGAGGTTTTATAATACAAATCTCAACCTTACTATTAGTCAAATGTTCGTATTTAATTCAAATTTTCTGGTTTTATATCAATGATAGTCGTTCTTCATAGCACAGTGAGATGAGACAATCTCTGTAATGTCTATCATAGCCTCCCAAAATATGTTTTAAGGAATTTATATTATAAAAGATGATGAAACAAATACTCTTTTCTAACAGGAGAATGGTGAGAAGGTCAAGCTGTTACTGCGACTTGCGGACAGTCAGCTAGAGAAGGGTCAATCTCATGCCACCCGTATCAAGTCATGGGTCAGTGCAGTGGACAAGAGGTATCGGGACTTCTCACTCCGCATGGACAAGTACAGGGTCCAGCTGGAAGGCAAGCTGGGTCTCAGTCATGAGGTGGGTTTTTATAGAACATTGCCTGTAGCAATGATGGTAGTAACAAGAAGATGATAGTGGTGTTGGAGGCGATGATGTTCGGAATGATGATGATGATGATTTTCATGATGGAGGAGGAGGAAGAAGAAGATGATGATAGTGTTAATGAAGGAAAAGGAGGAGAACAAGAAGAAGATGAAAAGAAAAAGAAGAGGATAAGGAGGAGATGAGGAGCAAGAGATAGTGGTAGGAGAATGAGATGACGATAGGAGGAATAGGAAGAGGAGGATGGAGTAAGAGGAATGGATAATGATAACACAAAGAAATTTTCTTCTTGCAGACTACATTCTCAAGACTTACATATACATGTATAGCAGTTGTATAAACAAATCAATTATTGAAAATGATATATCGCTAGTGAAATTCATTTGTCTCGCAATGTAAGACTGTTCTTAACATCCTTTGTTCTTTTATGCCTGTAGGATGATGGAAACCTCTCATTAGACCATCGGAAATCAGACAGTAGTCTAGAGTTGAAGTTTAGAGATGCTGCTAAGGGTGGGGGAGAGGAGAAGCGAAAATCAGCAAGGAAAAGAGAGTTCATCATGGCTGAGTTATTACAAACAGAACAGGCTTATGTTAGAGATCTTCACTGCTGTATTACGGTAAGAAGAAACATAACTGTACGAGCAGAAATCTCAGGGCTTATTTTGAGCCAAGCTGGATTTGCATTGACTGATTGTAAATATGCATGAAAAGCAAAGGGCAGGCACTTATATTTTGGAAATTTTCAGAGAGTCTACTATGTAATTTATTAATGACAATAATAACTTTTGATTTAGCACGTAATAATTAACAGTTTATTCTCTATGCGCTTTACATTAATAGAGTACTCTTTACAATCTACAGCCACACATGTAAGATGACAAATAACACCACTTCATGCATACCGAATAATAAAAACAAGAATTGTTGCACTACTGTATTAAAGAAAAGGTGTGTCTTTATGACTCTCTTAATAGTATTATTACAATGTAAAGTTCTTGGCTTGAGAGAGGGGGTAAATCTGCTACCACCAGATCACAGCTCAAACAACTTCTTAAATTTTCATCCAAAAGTCTACCACGATTCTTCTTCTCTGAATGGCATTTGTTTGAAATTATTTTAGAAAACACAAAACAACCTGTGTATTTGTAGTTAAAATGGTCTTTTAGTAAATCAGAGATAAATGTTTTATTTGTTTTTATTTATCAGAACTACATGTGCGAGATGATGGCATCTGTAGGGGAGGTTCCTGGAGGTATCATAGGGAAGGAGCACATCATCTTCGGGAACATTGAGGAAATATATGCCTTTCATAAAGAGTAAGTACATGTATAGATTCTTGCTGAAGTGCCTGGACATTAACTCTATAGTGTGTCCCAGAAAAAAAATGGAACCCTGATAATTGTGAGCTGTATAAAGATAATATCTTGATTTTCATAAAGTAGTAGTATTATACTCATAAGATACTATGATTTCATTAATCCATACATGTTTTACTTAGCAAATTTTTTTCTTCAAATGGAATGTCAAACTCCATTTGTGCCATATTAACACAGTGAAAATGTTGATGTCACATACAAACATGGCGTTCGGGAAATGTAAGCTTCAAAAGATGACTATGCAGATTTCCAATGTTTGATGATGTGCAATGTTATTGAAAATAGGGGCAAATACTCATTTCAGGGTTGACAGGGGCATACAACCTCAGATTTTCCCAAAATCAATAAATATCCCTCAAGCAATTAACAAGTTCTCCTTCATTTGAGAAATGGTGTCTATCTGAAATTAGATATTCTGATGTAAGGTGCCCCTCGCTTTAATTCTCACAGAAATTTCACAGAACAGTCTGCTATGCTCCTCAAATAATGTATCAGAAAGTCTTCAATTGTAAGGAACACTTACAATGGAAGGAAAATATATTTTGGGTATAAATTTTGTGTCTCAAACTGTCTTTTACCACATGAATTTAAAACATTTTTGAAACAGGTATCCCCAAAACTGTTCACATTCAGAGATTGTCTCTGGTGTTGAATGTGCTTGTTCCACCAGGTCTGTAGAATCCAATAGAAAAGAAAGATCTCTTTACAATTAAGTGCCAGTTGAACTTAAACTTACCTTTTAGTATAGCTAAACCACCAGTTTTTGTTACAATGATATTTTTGTACTCTATAGCGTCTTCTTGAAAGAACTTGAGAAGTATGAATCGATGCCTGAAGATGTCGGCCATTGCTTTGTCACATGGGCTGACAAGTTCCAGATGTATGTAACCTACTGCAAGAACAAACCAGACTCAAATGCCTTATTAGTAGAACATGGAGGAGCATTCTTTGATGTAAGTAACATTTTATCCTGAATTAATATTGGCTAAATTTGTTCATTCTGTCAAAAGCTATTGCTTTCAAGTGTGATGATATTAGCTTACGTGTTATACTGTGCGTCCCAGAAAAAACGAAACCGAGAATTATCAATGTTTTATCATAACTTAATCATAATTATAATTAATAAATGACACATATTTTTAAAGCTTAGATCCTCCTCTTTCTTTTGATTCAACTCATATGATGCATAATTCATGCATGAGGGATTTACATGAATTTAAAGAGAGGAAAACAAAAAGTCATTTGCCAGACGGTATCTGAATTTCAAAGAGAGAATCACATTTCTATGAAAGTTCATTTTCTGCCTTTTCATAAGAAACCTCAATCAGGATAAATGAGCCAGGAATAACAAAGTCCTGTTTTTGTCTTGCCTGCGTAGCAAAAAGCGAGACATAGACGCCGCTTTTCCGGTGACGGCGGCGTCAACATCAAAAACTTAACCCAAGGTTAAGTTTTTGAATTTTTGATATAATTTTTTAAGCATAGGTTCTTAGTCAATGAAACTTTGACTATAGGGTAATCAAGTATCCCCAATCATGTGAGTAGAATTTTAGATCACAAAGTCAATGTCAAAGGTCATTTCAGGTCAACAGACTTGGACTATGTTGTAGCATCATCATTGAAAACTTAACCTAAGGTTAAGTTTTTGAATTTTTGATACAATTTTGAAAGTATAAGTTCTTAGTCAATGAAACTTGGACTATAGGGTTATCAAGTCTCCCCAATCATGTGAGTAGAATTTCAGGTCACTAAGTTAAGGTCAAAGGTCATTTAAGGTCAACAAAATTAAACTTTGTTGTGGCATCAACATCAAGATTTTCAAAATGCTTCTTCTTCGTTATTTTTCAACCGATTTTGATTCTGATTGTTTCATATGATAGGGCTAGGAAGGGGATTTAAAACTTCTAAACAGAACAGAAATTCATTATCTATGCTAATTTATGCAAATTTATTCGAAATCACAAAAAATGCTCCTTCTCCTTCCTTTCTTGACCGATTTTGATTTGGTTTGCTTCATCTGGTAGTGCTAACTTTGGTACACTAAACTTCTACACCGAATTTTGAAATTGTTCTTCATTAATTAATTATGGTAATTTATGCAAATTTATTACAAAAATAACAAAAATTGCTTCTTCTCCCTCATTTCTTGACCTATTTTGATTTGGTTTGCCTTATCTGGTAGAGCTAAATTTGGAACACTAAACTTCTACACAAAATTTGAGATTTTGCTCCATTGATTATTTATGGTACTTTACGCAAATGAAATGAAATTATGTCCCTTCCAGGGCATCAAATTTTTATTTTTTGACCAGTTCAAAAGTGTACCACATAAAATTTACGATATTTGTTGTTGCGAGATGCGGATGAGCGTTACCTCATTGATGTTCTGGTTTATCATATTGAATTGCGTTATGCAGGCGAGACCACCGAGAGCGTTTCCCTTGTTTTAAAGTAGTGCTTGCGTTTCCATCATTCGATTAAATGAATTCGTTTTCACTGGCTACCTGCCGTAGCAACAAACAGAGGTGACAAGAGACTTGAATCCATTTCGTTGACGATTAGCCATGCACAAAGAAGACAAAAGATTTGTTTTGGCAGTTTGTTGCACCGTATCTGAAGAAGCCTTTTCAAGACAACTGATGGCAATTTGTCAAAGACATGGTGGCATGGAAGGGGTCAATCCCTTTGCAACAAAATGAAGCAAACATTTTTATACAACGCCTACTAAGATTCTTGCAACCTCATTGGTCAATTCTTGATCACATGATATGCGCTAAAAGTACCATTGAACGGCATCATTCTCCAGCCGTGCAATTCCGTTTGATCCTTTTGCACCATTGCATTCTGACGTCACTAACGATGTACAAAGTATATGGTGAGCAATGGTGCAAAAGGATCAAACAAAATTGCACTCCGCGTCACATTAAACATAAAGGTTGGTACGCGCGGCGCATGGTATGCGCATGGTTTGCTGCCTGCTTTAAGCACTTTAATAATAGTGCGCGCTCACTATCAGCAACTTCATCAATTGAAAACAAACAAAAAATCGCTGAGATTTAGGCCTAGGAAAACTGTTTTAAGCCTGTTAACGTCTGAGGTGTTGTATAAAACAAATAGTGAATGGTCTTTATTCGTGCAATGGAAAATTATTTTGCATTCGGTGAAAGATGAGACGCTCCATTCAACTCGGCTGCGCCTCGTTGAATATAGCGTCTCTTATCTTTCACCTCGTGCAAAATCTTGTACCATTGCACTCATGGACACTCACTATTTGTATAATATTGTTACATTGATAAGCAATTGAGCATTATTAGCGAAGGTGCATTGTTTTCATTGTTTCTTACGTGATAATCTTCATATGTACATTGTACATGTATGTATCAGTGTTGACTCATTTAATTGTTTTAATCTGTCCATATATAACAGGAAATGCAGAAGAAGCACAACCTAGGCCTGTCAGTGCAAGCTTACATCATCAAACCAGTACAGAGAATAACTAAATATCAGCTGCTGCTCAAGGTATGACAAATCTTTCTACATTATACATCTATGGTAATTTTATTACAGTTATCAAATGAAAGGATGTATACTTTAAATAATATGTATTCTCTCCCTCTTGTTGTTGTACATGCAACACTATACAATGCAATTTAAATAGATCTTTAATCTGATCCCCACTCAATTTATGTTACTTGTACTGTCAACTACTGATTTTACTATGTCCATCTTTTTATATTTGTTATACATGTATGCATTTATTCGCAATTCTATGTATCTGTTTTTATATTGAGTGAATAAATGATTTGAATTTGAATTTGATTTGAAAACAAACAAGATTCTTCAAAATGGAGGTACATGTAATTACTCTGAATATGATCGGAGCATATTAGTTGTAACATTCACAATGAAAGGTGTGATTTTACTGGGAATGTAATTTTTTTAATTTTTGTTGAAAGGTTTGATAAGTTGTATAGTCCAGGGCCCCGTCTTTTAAGGTGTTGCAATTTTTCCTATTAAAACTTCATAGCATCAAATGCAATGTAGCCATGAAATGCAAATGGGTGGAGTGTGTGCAGACATGTTTGCCCATTTTACTCATGAATCTTCCATATCCTTGGGTTTGAATAGAAAATTATTGATCCAAACCACGAGCCAAACCACATAATGTGGAACGGTTGTCACAAAAGGGTTAATATGTACATACAAGTGCATTATCTATGTATACAGTAGGCTTACGGTTGCACCATATGAGAGAGGGGGATTGGGGAGTCCTGAAAAGGACTGTGAGTAATCTTTCTTTCTTGGGTGTGTGTAGTCCTAAAAAGGACTGATATATTTATTACCGGGTATTTAACATATTGATTTGTAAGGTTTGATCTTGTTTTGTTTGTCAGGATCTTCTTGCTACATGCGAGGAAGGGAGAGGAGAGATCCAGGATGCGTTAGACGTGATGCTGACCGTACCAAAGAAAGCGAATGATGCTATGCACGTCAGCATGCTGGAAGGATTCGATGTAAGCTAATTCATTCAATTCAATTAAATTCAATTCATTGAGTGTGTGAGCTTTCTCATTCTGTTGGGACATATGTGGAAGGAGAGTAGCAATATCACATGAACAGAATTGCTCTTGAAATTCCCTCTAATTCAAATATAAGTGGAAATAGTTTGAAATTATGAACCGAATTGACATGCCACACGTGTATGTAGTCCCATATACCCACATCTCTCCGTGCATTGCTTTTCAATGTATGTGGATTTTCAGCAACTTGCTTATAATTTAACAATTAAGAACATCACAATACACTATTATTCTTTTGTTCTACATGAACAAAATTTCTCAAGACGACAGTTAGACGAATGGTTTCTCATCAATAAACCATATTTTAAAAATAAACAGCATTTATACATCATATAGACAATTTCTAGACAATTTTCAGACAATGTTTTCACAACAAAATAGCATAACCTGGGCCCTGTCTTACAAAGAGTTATGATTGATCTAAATCAATCGCAAGTCCTCCAATCAATCGCCAGTTTGCAGTCTCCTATCTCTTACGTACATAGTTGCGATTGATATCGATTGCAAATAAGTTGCGATTGGTATCAATTCTTTGTAAGTAAGACAGGGCCCAGTACTAGACTATATCATTGAACTTTGACCTTTGATTGATTGTCAGGACTACCTTCGAGCTCATGGAGAAGTGATCCTCCAGGATGCCTTCCAGGTGTGGGACACCAAGCAGATCTTCAGGAAGGGCCGGGAGAGACATATCTTCCTCTTTGAGATGTTTCTCGTCTTCAGCAAGGAGACCAAGGACAGCACTGGCAAGACCAAATACATGTACAAGAGCAAGATGGATGTAAGTTAGATTTGAGCAATTCTTTTTTTTTTAATTTTTTTTTTTATAGGTTTTATTTCCACATTAACTGCATATGAAAAGAATTTACAAAGTAAGGCATATACGAGGTAACAAAACATGTACATAATATTCGATTGATACAACAGTAATAAAAAACGATTTAATGGCAAGTCATTAAATACAAATGATGCTAACAATAATCTTCAGTAATGAGGAGGAAACCTTGGAAGCATTATGCTTGTAATTAAGGTTCCCTTTACATAATACATTTGTTAAATACAATATAAAACAAAAAACAAAACAAAAGAACAAAAACGGGTGTGTGGTGCAGCCAGCCAAAAAGTGTTGATAATACCGATGGTCTCTATCGTGATGACCTTAAGCATTTTCATACTGGAGTAGAAGTTTATGTTTCAAGTGTTATTTAAAAGTAATTAAACTTGGCAGCTGTTTGAGCGAAATGTCCAAGGAATTCCAGTACACAGGACCAGTATAAATCAAAGTGTTTTTTTTATAGTAAAGTTCTGAGTTTGTGTAAGTGAAAAAAGGAAGACTGTCGGGTTGGATAATTATGAAGGTGTTGATTCTTTTGGAATGTCCACGTGATGGCATGAGGAAGTTTGTTGCATTCTTCAACATGACTACTAGCCATCCTTAAAGGGATTGGGTAACTTTGTCTCTGATTCTAAACAAAATCCTGGATTTAGCTCATGCTGCAATCATAGTTATAAACCTTTAGATCAGTCAGGAACCCCATGACTTTTACAAGCCGATTGTCCGTCTGATTATCAAGATATTTATGATTGGAATTTAAAATTTAAAAAACCATCAGATTTGGTATTGTTTAACAATGCCTTTAAAGCATATTTTATCTGAAGAGATTGCACAAGTTCATAACAAAGGGAATGATCTACGCCGTTTTCAAAATGGGGCGCAATGTCAACAATGCAAAAACTGCTTCACTTCAAATTGTGTTTTGTTTCCTAAGGTTTTTTTAATATGTACACATAGATCTATTTTTTCTTCAAATTCGGATGTAGTGATTATTGTCATACTATTCTCAAAGTAATAATGTAAATACTTTAAATTAAATGCATACCGCTAAAGAATCAACAACTTTGGTCAGCCAGTCTTTGTGTTGTATGAGTGATAAAAATGATTGATGCATGTTTTATAATGAAAGTAAGTTATTTTATATGTGATATAACTATATTTTATGATTTTGGTTCCCTTTCTTGATGACAGATGTCTGACCTTGGCATAACGGAACACATAGAGGGCGATCATTGTAAGTTTGCTCTGTGGACCGGAAGGACACCATCTTCAGATAACAGAATAGTACTCAAGGCAAGTCATTTCAACTCCTAAATTGTTTTCCACTCAAAGGGATTGGAATTGAGAGTAGTGTCTCTGTAAAAATATTTGTCACTTTCACTGTAACTTTAGGAAAAGGAGAGAATAGGGTATGTGCTTCCCAATCAAAAGCATTTTGCTATCCTTCACAAGCAAATAGACATATTGACTATGTATTAGTAGATTCATATTAGCCATGATTTGTGTGTAGCAGTATGTAGCGTAGAGTAGTCATGTATAGTGTCGTGGTCGAGTGGTTTAAGGCGCTTGACTTGGAGATGCGAAGGTCGAGGGTTCGAATCCCGACACGGCACTAATATCCTTTGGCAAGATATTAACCTGCACTTGCTACTCTCCACCCAGGTGTTAAATGGGTACCCGGTAGGATGCGACCGTCATTGTTGGTCAAACAGTTTTTGAGCGTCATGTAACGCCTGGCTGGAATGCTCCCCAGGGAGTGGAGATTGTGCACACATTGTGTGCGGGTAAGCACTGAATCCAATGACCGGGGTAATAATATATTTGTAAAGCGCTTAGAGACATTTGTATTTAGCGCTATATAAATTAAATTTATTATTTATTATTATACTGAATTCTGTTCATGCAAATTTGTTTAATCATGGTACAGAAAATGTTCTGCAAAGTTTGTGTGTGTGTGTGTGTGTATTGGGTTTTTACAGACGTGTATCAATCAGATATGATTATTTACGTCTGGGGACCGACCTTTAAACGTCAACATCCGAAAGACGTGACTCAGTTTCAAACCTGCGTCCTCTGCTGAATCAGTTTGTAACTTCCATTGTTAGCTGGATTACAGGCGCACGCCACAACGCCTAGTTTTTTAAATTTTAAATTTTTTATATACTGTATAAAATGGTTAATGAAGTAATAATTTTGGTGTATTTACTGTAATGTTGTGAGTTTATTTTGTTTGTGTTCCTATTTGTAGGCTCAGAGTATGGACAATAAACAGGAATGGATCAGGAGACTGAGGGAAGTCGTTCAGGATAGGCAGATTCACCCGAGAGCAGGTATAGTGAAATAATGAATTATGGAGTCTTACAAAGAGAGAGAGAAAGAGATGAAGATATGAAGACAGGTATTCAGAAATGATCAAGAAAGAGAGAGAGAGAGAGAGAGAGAGAAGGGGGGGGGGGGAGGATTTACAAGAACAGAAAAGGTTGAGAAAATGTAACAGTTGGAAGTTGAAGTGTTGGACGGAAACAAATTCAGACCCGTATTTATATTATCCATCATCCACCCATCTTGTCTATTTATGTTTTCAGCTCTGATTGATACTGTCAAGTTCTCCAAGACTTCCTTCACCAAAAGTGCCCCGTCCACGTCGAGTAGTCTCAGTCAGAAATCCAGCAGGTAAGAATCAGTCAGATACGACATTTTCCATGGCAACAGAAACAACAAAAAGAAGAAAATAGATGTTTTTCAAAAACGTTCATAACTTGTAAAGTACAACTACATTGTGAGAAATGAGGATTCAATATATTGAAACACTTCTATGGCAGTTGACATTGTACTCCCACTGTGTATGCATATACATGTGAAGACTCAGGGTAATCATGTCAGCAGAGTGCTCTCTTTTGACAGAAACCAGTCTAGTAATTCCTAGTGTTTCCTAACTCCATATCCACAACGATATCGGTACTTAAACAAATATAAGACAACAGTACATTCATAAGTTTACAAATGGAAAGCGTAATGCACTTTCTGTTGATATCATCCATAAAAGTATGTTAACTTTCTTTGTTGTTTAAAAAAAAAAATCCACAGTTAACTGTTAAATTCCCATTACATTTTGCTATCACAGGAGCTATAATTCAGAAGAAAGTCTGAATGATGAATCTTTGCTGGGGGGATATGACAGGAACTCAATAACATCTGTATCAACAAACAACACCAACTATACAGACAACAGTGATAGGGTAAGCCTACATGTATGTGATGATGTGTGCTTCATGTGGATGACAATGTGAATGGATGAATCTTTAATGAAATGTCTTGAAATTGATGAGTCAATGATTAGGTACATCGTTGGATCGGTGTATTGAGCGCTATATACCGATTATTATTATTATTATAAGATAATGTCGCTGGAGGAATGTGTGAATGGAATTGCGGATGATGAAATTACGTGTGACTAGCAGATGTGAAAGAAGAGATATAAAGGGTATGAACCAAGAAAAGTTGACTATTAGAAAATGGCATGTTGGTTGAAGTTGGACTGGTAGATCATTGAAGGGGAAGTCCACCCTGATATTAATTTGTTTTTAATAAGAAGCAGAAAGTGAGAGGAACAGGTCGGTGAAAATGTGAGAAATTTTTCGTTTTCCCTCAAGAAATTTCAATCATATATTCTTGTAAATATGTTTTTATACAACCTCTGTATGGAAACAAAATCTATTCCCTCATCCATAATGAAGAAAATGAAAGTCAATGAAATTTTATGTACATAGCAAATTGGAGAGGACCTCGCAAGATTAGTCAGAGTTTTGCCAATTTGTGTTTGATTGATCGCAACTTCGAAAGTTCAAAAGTTTCTTATTTTCAATAGGACTTTGCCTAACTTTCCATGACCCATCCCTTTCATTTTTCTGCTTTTGTTTAAACCAACTTAATATCAGGATAGACTTTCCCTTTAAGCAGATTATGATGTTGTTAGTAGGATGAGTAATTGATTGGGATGAATGATATGTGAAGACTGATGCCTGATTGAGTTTATTGAAATAAATGAGCTAAAGATAGGCGTGAATGAAAATACGAATGAATGGAACTGGAGATTAAGAGATGGAAGCTGTTTTAATTGGGTTGTCGTCCTGAACTGATTTCTGATCACGGAAGTAATTGGACATGAGATAGATGTACACTCGTGTTTGATAAACGGACTGGTAGATAATATGTGATGTATTGAATCTATAGCTCATTAACATAGGATGGATGGTTAGGATGATATATGTAATTTTTATCTAAATATGTCAGGATAATTGATGAGTCAAAACAAGATTATTAAAGTTAAATTTGGAATGTAAATTGATGAATAAGCTTGTGGATAAGTGAAAGGCTAAAGGGATATCCAAATTATGCCATCAATTTTTTTACTGTTGATAAGACAGACGTAGATTGAGATAATGATTTCTTAACCCATTCCTATTGAGAAAGCATTCAGTATACCACCTTTGCTTGGTTCAAAGAGCTGCTTCAGAAGTCATAATTAGGCCATTTGTTCAATTATACAGAATAATCATCCATTTTTGTAAATATCAGTCAAAGAGATAAGAACATATGACAATCCATTTTCCTTATCAAATTAATTGCCCCTTTAAAAGCTTCCAGAAGTAGTATCCAGATGTTGAAAATAGCAGTGTTGAGGTTGGTGAAATGAGTTGTTCTTGTACCTTTGCAACAAATCAATATGTTCTTTAGAGTCTGAATGCTTAGACTAGTAGTCGGTACACAAGTACACACTTGACCACTGGGTAACCCTGTTTACACGACTGTACTCTCATACAGACCAAATAAACCGCACTACATTTGCATAGAAATGGCAGTTTCTTCGACTGCAGACAGGATAGTATACAGGCTAGCCTATCACTCTTCTATTTCTTATGATGAATCCTTACTGCTGGTCAATAATTTTTTTTCAAAATATGTATCTTCTTCTGATCTCTTGCACACTCACAATGTAGATGAGACTTGGATATATAAACGTGACCTTTCATCAACACTTTCTACAAAACAGTACTCACATCTAGACCAAATTAATTACATCACACTTGCACTTCTAGTGAAAGTTCAATTTCTCCAACTGCAGACAAGAAAGTCTTTCAGTCTCCTATTTCTTGTGATAAATTTGTATTCATATGTCACTATTCTCATATCTTCATTAGATTTTGGTATACATTGTAGGTACAGTAGTCTTAAATCATTTGTAGATCAGAGAGAGAGGGATCACGCAAGTCAGGTTATCACCACTGCTGGAATTCTGAGTAATCCAAATAAAAGATGATATTGGTTATATATAAGGTGCCATATCGGTTAAAAGAAATGCTTGAGATGCTTGGAGAGTTTAGATTTTATCACTCAATGGAGATCATTATATTGAAAAATTCCAAGGTTCTCAATTTTGTTTTTAGTACATAGTGTTGATCATTTTCAAAAACAAACAACAAACAACAAAAACTTAAAAACTGTTTTTGTTAAATATACAATGATAATCAAAGAATCACGTTGAAAAGAGCCATACTTTTTTCAGCACGATTCTTCGATTTTGTAGTACCAATGATCTTTTCAGATACAACGATAAACAAATATTCACATCATGATATATCCTTCATGAAACAACCTGTTAACTTTACAATCACAACATCCTTGACATCTTTTTACCATCCGAACTTGCCATTAGCACTCTTACACAAACACACACATTTACCTGTAAATTGTTGCATTTCTTTGCTGCAATAATGCAATTAATAACATAAATTTCACCCTCTATACTGAGACCTGCATATGGAATATCATTGAAGCAATTCTTAAAAGTTCCGCCGACTCTAAAATGTTGTGTAATTCTGTCCAGAATGGCAGATTTATCCATCTCAAATCTTGTCTAATCTTTCTCGATATCACATGGAACCAATTCATTCCGCGCACGTCCATCATGCAACATGAGACTGCTGTGAGACTTGCTTTCGGTAGAGGAAAACCTCGAAGCTGATTTGACCTTGGTGACCCAACGCACCACTCTTCTTTCTTTTCATCTTCTCAGAATGGTGACAGGTTATTAGCATATTCTGTGTGCATACCTGTACATCTATGCAAGTAAAGTGTCCACTGTGTGAAATGACTGCTACTTTACGTTTCTTGACATATATTTCAACTGTCTTCAGACAAACGGGTTCATTAAACTTGAATCACATGTAATTACAGTATGTTGTTGCATTTATTTAGGACTTCTCAGGATATTTTTTAGATTTTTGTCTTTTTGTTTTGTAATTGTACAAAGAATTTCCATGACAACAGTCTAAAATTTGAAAGACTGAATGCATTTCTATTTCTAAATAATATTTCATCACTGAAAGTGAATAGATCTTTAGTATGTTGGCTGGTATCCTATTTTGACCTGTAGATGGCTTTTTGCTCGTGGAATATTATGGTGTTAACAATATCTATAAATGATTGCTTTGAATAGACCATCTGAAAGATAATATCTTTAATTTGTCCTGATTCTTTAATCGTACTGAATTTCTTACTTGGAAGGAATAGAAATGACTTGAAAACATGAACATGCTGTAGGTATATAGCAACAGGGAATGGTCGAGAGAGAAAAAATAATTAAACAGAAAATATGCTCCTCTTATTCAATGCACTGCAAGTGCTACAGTGAGTTGTTACCTTTATTAAGGGACACGTTTTTAACACGATATATGAGAATTTTATTTTATCCATAAACAGCCATCAAAGTGATGGACAGGTTTTTTCTTCGAATTGCTCAATATGCTGATGATAAAAGCACGATTACTAAAACCGCCCACACTCATGCATTTTCATGCATAAGGATGAAATTTGACATAAGCTCACCTACATGTATATTGGGTGTGTTTGTAGATGTTATATACATAAAGCATATCCATTGAATGCAAGGCACATGTTATGTGACAATACCATTATTCTTGTCCTAGATTTGAAGTGATCTTGTAGATCACATCTTCCTTGATAACCTTGCAAGATTCTGAGTTCTCTTTCAAAGATAGTCTTATTTCAATGTGGAAAAAGAAGCCTTTTTCAGTCTCAATTATTTAAAACAGGTTGATGTTGCAGTTTATGTAGATCTTGGTTAGATGTACCTGTATGTGTCTGTTATCATGGTTGAGCTGAATGGTAACAAAATCTCATTTGGTATTAGAGAAGTCTACCCTGACTTCAAATTGGAGCACAACAAAACTTTTCTGCAAAAGAATAAAATATGAAGATGATAAAGATTAAGAAGATAAGTCATTAAAACATTTTTTCCCATGTGGATGACAGTTATAAAAACTAATCTTGGTAGTGCAGAAAGTTTTTCACCCTTTAATATATCACCTTGCTGATTAGTTTTGATAATGAGAAATTACTGTCGAGAGGAAAATTTGAAGGGAAGAAATCTTTCCAAAAGCTATTGAATAGTAAAGTATAGAAAGTTCCATCATATGCATTTTTCTCTTTTGATCATCATTTCACACGTACATGATATGACTGCACAGACAGATATAAACAGACCAGATCCCTCTATTTAGACTCCGGATATTAGGAATTTGTTAATTTTGTTCGCAATGGTGTTGGTTTTCTCACCGTAACATGAACCTGATCCTCCTCTGTGCAGCCTAGCCTTGTCAGCATGACGAAATCTCACATAACATTCGGCCGGTCGCCACCACCCGGCAAGTCCAAATTACACAAACTGCGACACCCCCACCAACTTGTCCCATCTAGCGCTACGTAACTCTATATCACAATTTAGCTGGTAAGGAACCTAAGGGGATCGAAAGTAGTCTCTCCCTCATACCTCAATGGTGTTATTAGAATGCATCTAAGACCTTCTGCCCAATCCCAAATAAAGGGAGTTTGATTAATAATGAAACCCAAACTTCATTTAACCTTCATTATGTTTTATAACCAATTTTTTCTCTCGAAATTGAGTGTAACTAAATAGGAAGTGTACTAGCTTTGCACAATGCTTTTCATTTTAATGATTGCGCTAAAGGCTTACTACCAAATTCTTTGTGCTTGTGAAGGGATAGTTAAATGATTGAAGCATTGTATAAAGTTTGGCGAAATGGAGGCTTTCTGCTCAGGTCCAAAGAAAGGAAGTTTGATTAATAATGAAACCCAAACTTCATTTAACCTTCATTTATGTTTTATAACCAACTTTTTTTCTTCTCAAAATTGAGTAAAACTAAATAAGAAGTGTGCTTGCTTTGCACAATGCTTTTCATTCTAATAATTGCTTTAGCAAATTCTTTGTGCTTGTCAAGGGATAGTTTAATGATTCAAGCATTGTATAATGTTTGGCAAAATGGAGGCTTCGGCATCATTTTGCTACAAGAATCCATTAAAGCTTCAAAAGGATTTGCTTTCTGATCATCATATTATATGGAAATTATAATCCTCAAAATAAATACTCTTTCTGTTCTAAAATGTGTGTTTCCTAAATGTACCTCTTATGTGTATACCTTCTTTTCCTTAGAAAATATTTCTTTCTTTCTTTCTTTCTTGTTTTTTGTGTGAATATTGATCCTTTGTAATTGCATCAATACTTGCCAGAATTTTGAAGGAATTTTGACGTTTCCAGCTTCTAATCGTACATACCTGAATAGTCTCAGTCAAAGTCCCTAAATTTAGACTAGGATATAGCCATCAAGTTAAGGTGTGAAGCACAATCTTAATGCTATTACAGAAAGGCAAATCATGTTAGCCTGATTAGTCTGCAACAAAGTCTGATGGTCTAGAAAGTTGGGATTCCAGTGCACTGAAAGACACAATTTTGAATAGAGATTAGTCTATACTCCAAAAAAGGGATATTTTTCATTTGGTTGGAAATTTGACTTGGAAGACTGAATGTTTTACATATCTGCTAGGCTTGGGAGAGAAGAAGCAGAATTTGGATTTTAATCCAAAGCAAGACAACGTACACTGACCAAGGTGTTACTCTAGTTCAGAAGACAATAAGCAAAATATTACCAATACGATCTGAATCGTAGCCTAATACCAAAGGAGCAAAACAGTAGACATTCAAGACATTCTAAGAATTATACTAGACAGCATACACTTTAGGGTCTGAATCATAGCCTACCATTTTATTGAGAAGCAGGATAGAATATATTCACAGGACCTACATACAGTATACACTGAACAGGGTCTGTATCATAGTCTAATACCTCAGATAAGCAAGGCAGCAGATACTCAATGGGGTCTGAATCGTAGCCTAATACAATTTTGACAAAGTATTTGAGACAGAATATGCAGATTTGGGTCTGAATCATAGTCTACTATTTGAAAGAAGCGAGCCAGCAAGCACTCAACGGATAGCCCCCTGACGTGATCAAGTGCGTGTATCACTGACGACCATCATGCTTGCGCTTGCGTCACGCGTGCTGTTTGTACGCAGGGCAGTGAAGATCACAAGAGCTCTCATTTCAACGCAGCCGGATACAGACGATGCGGAACATATGGGGCGCGACTCTACTGATGATAGGCAGGCAGGGAAGAGAGATGGGGACAAGAGGGAGAGAAAAGCGCTGATTGAATAGTGGCCCCAATACTTTCGATCCGAAGGATGTTTTAGAAAAACTAGTTGCCGAATAGTGGCCCCTATTCTTTCGATCCGAAGAATGTTTTAGAAACTCTAATCAATTCAATTCCATTCAAAGTTTATTCAACACTTTTCATGAAAACATTTAGAACATAGAAATACAGAATGGAATGATAACAAAATAAGATAGTGATAACAAAGAAGAATGGCAATTTATGATAGCACGTGGGATAGGCAGAAAGGAGGGATTCCTTATATGAAAGCCTACCCCTAAAACACACACATACAGGAAAAAAAGAAACAAGAACAAAAGAACAGAACAAAAAACGAAAAAACATACTAAAACATACTATCATGTACAATCAGAGCAAAAAAGTGAATAGGTGCCCCAATACTGTTGATCCGAAGAATGTTTTTAGGAAATAACTAGTTGCTGAATAGTGGCCCCAATATTTTTGATCCAAAGAATGTTTTAGAAAAAAACTAGTTGTTGAAAAGTGGTCCCAATACTTTTGATCCGAAGAATGTTTTAGAAAAAAATAATTGTTGAATAGTGGCCCCAATACTTTTGATCTGAAGAATGTTTTAGAAAAAAACTAGTTGCTGAATAGTGGCCCCAATACTTTTGATCCAAAGAATGTTTTAGAAAATAACTAGTTGCCGAATAGTTGCCCCTATACTTTCTTTTCTAAGAATGTTTTAGAAAAACTCTAGTTGCTGAATAGTGGCCCCAATACTTTCTTTTCTAAGAATGTTTTAGAAAATAACTAGTTGCCGAATAGTGGCCCCTATACTTTCGATTTGAAGAATGTTTAAAAAAAAAAAAAAATTTTGTAAAGCGCTTTTCTACTTCTAATAACCAATCAAAGAACTTAATATTGCTGTGGAGTCATTTCAGAGATACCATGTTTCAGAAATAGAAAATTCTTTTATAAATGTAATGCTTCCTTGAGAATTTCAATTATGATCTTATTCACTGGGTGTATGCCACAAATATGTTTAAATAATAGAAAAATTCTTGTACTTTATTTATTTTTTTTCTGTAGCAGTTTGACACATCACATTGAAAAAATGCATGTATCCAAGAGAACACAATCTGATATCTTGACCTGAAGATACTTAGAAGAAAAAAAACAAGTTAATGCTTGAGACAAGGCCAAAAGCAAGAGTTGGTGATTTCTCCCTCCATTCACGTCTCATTTAACAGTGGTTGGTTACCATGGCAATGCCTAATCGATAACCACCTTCGGAAAGGAAGTGATAAGCATGGTTGGTTGACTTTATAGAATTCAGTCCTGACTGTCACTGTTTTTTGTAGCTCTTTCTCTCTCCTTGTAGGCGTTGAGTCTTGTATTGTTACAAGGGACCTGTTGAATACCAACACATGTAGATGACACGGAAGGAGAAATTACAGTTCAAGTTGAATCCTACCCTGAATATATTCATACTGGACATGCATGTATAGATCTAGATGCACTACACGTTCTTATGATTGTCTTCATCTTCTTCTTCTTCTTCTTCTTCATCTTCTTCATTTTCTTCAAGATAATCTGCCTCCTTTAACACTGAAGATTCTTGCAGATGCTGTATATACTCGCCCATCTACATGTGTTTGTACCAAGTCTCTGGACATTTTCCATTTTATTCAACTACTAGTAACATATACTACAATTAACTAGTTATATATTGTATAGTGGGATGAATCCTTGTGCAATAAGTCCTAGTCCTCATTTCATCTTTAAGGTTATTGTATTCCAAAATGTAAATATTAACTGATGGTGAATAACATTAGTGGGAATATAATTGTCTGACATTCACTAGATCCAAACCATCCAATCCAAAAGATATTTGATATAGGGCCTTTTCATTACGTTTATAGAGTGCTGGAGACACGCTCCACAAGGGGGAGGGAGGGGGGGGGGGAGAGAAGGGCCTTTCTTCTTGTAGATACCTTGAACTGTTACATACTACGTTCAACTATGTTCACATCAGCTTTAGATAACAGTGGATATCTTTTAGCTCTAAGACTGATCATTGGATTGTTGAGAAGTGAACAAAATCAAATCATTCTACCAGTAATAGATTGGTAGTTCTCAATAACCATGTAGTAAAACCAGATCCATTTTCAATGGGTGTACTAAAGAATTGTTAATAATTGTCTTTTGAGGATAACCATTTTTCTAGTCATTTTTAGCTACAAATCTCTCTAAGGATAACTTTAACATGAATTACAGGTGGTTGATTTATTGATAATTACAGGAGGATCATAATTGAGAGAGAGAGAGAGAGAGAGAGAGAGAGAGAGAGAGAAATGGAGAAGAAAAGAGAAGAGAAGAGAGAAAGAGAAGGAAAAAAATCAAGAGATGTACATTTATCATTAGCAAATATACACATTGCATTTCACACACCAAATGAACTTACACATATCCCCAGTGCACATGCTCATGTCATGTGATCCATGTTTTGGTTCTACAGGGAAATCAAGAAAAGTGGAATTTCCGAAACTTTCAGAATGTATTAATTAGAATGCTGGCTGCCTTTCATCTGTTGATCGGCATGGAATGGAGAGAGGCGTGAGAGGTTTGAAACTGGGGGTCTGCGTGATTGATGAAAGTCTGGTCTTGTAGGAGCCAGAAGGACGATAACTGAAATACTTTAACACAAGTTTAACACCCTTCTGGCTCCAAACAGACCCTATTCTGGTTCATGCATATTCATGTTTGAATAGTGAAAGTTGTAAAGGGTGTGAGATATGATGATGCTAAATGATGATGTCAAGCTGGATGGGGCTCTAGAGAAGGATGTCACATAATGGTAGATGCAAAATTGCTGTATTTATTTTTACTTTTATTTCGAGATTAACATAGATTATATATTCTCATGGTAAATAAGTAATTGAGAACGAGAGAATAGTGAATGTGATGGTGCATTAACTTAATTTCAGAAATACTATACATGTGGAAAATGATTTATGATCTATGTTCTAAATGATGATCACCATTCTCACTTATAAATAAAAAAGGATGTGAGAACTCATTAAAACAGTGGTTGAACTCATACGATGGCAGTAATGAAATTTTTATTTTCACAATTTATTATGAACAGAGGCATGATCTCAATATGAGATGTTGGCTCATTTAAGCATTAGCATGGAATCAAACGTTAAACAAGAATGAGTTTTCTTCCCTTTTCACTGCAGTAAAAGAAATCAGTGCTGAAAAAGTCAAAGTACGATGCAGGGCCATTATTACTTTCCTTTCTTCGTTTGAAGGACTCCATGGGACTGAACATTGCTACCATTTCAGCACTATAATTGAAATCAGTGTTACACTTAACAACAGAAATAGACCATATTAATTGATCTTATCCCTCTCTTTGTTTGTAGGACTCAACAAGAATGAGCACAGAATGCGGAGTGGTCGTGGAAGACTTTGAAGCCTCATCTAGCCGCGAGCTAATGGTCAGTCGAGGTCAGACAGTGGAGATCCTTGACCAACTGTACGAGAAGAACCGAGATTGGTACCTGATCCGGACCCTGGCCCAAGATAATGCCACGCCCATTGAAGGACTGGTCCCAGCAAGCTGCATCCGGGTTCCATCGCAGAGATACAGCTCCAGCAGCTTAGGTATGTGGCATGATGTCAGTTGTATGGTGTAGTTTGTGTTGGTTTTATAGTGGTACATGTATTTATGTTCTTCTGTGCCTTTACTTGACCATCTTCCCTGTTCCACACCACTGAGCACAATAAAATGTTGTGTTTTCTGTGTGAGAAAAGAAAGTTGTGATTTTTCTTCATGTTGTTTGATGTAGTCTCATTATCTCCTTTTCATAACTTCCATGTTTTTGGCAAATGTGGAAACACTGACTTTATTGGGAGCTGGCACCTTTACATTTTTAAAAACATAATTCATCATCATCATCGTCGTATTCTATGTTTTCCAAAGTGACAGAGCTACAATTTTGTCATACCTTTCTGCATTACTTTGAACACTTTAGTTAGTGAAATTAACCCAAACTTGCAAGGCATCCTCCCTTCTCTACATATTCTCCTCTTATCAGTGTCATATTCTTCACCTAAAACACCTCTGAGCACTGCATTTTTTTTTGTTATCTGTGTAAGATGTGAAAACAGTATATTTGTTTCCATGTGAGATCAACCCCCCCCCCCCCCCTCCTTACTCAAGTTGTGAAAGAATTTCGCTCAAAAAAAAATCATTATAAACAGCAAAAGAAACCTCTGTAGATAATCCTATCATGATTTAATGTACAGTCAAACCTGCTTTAGTGACCACCTGTCTACAAAGGCCACATTTGTTGTTTCCCTTAAATGGTTTCTCATTAAATCATGTACTAAAGGAACCTGTCTACAAAGACCACCTGTCTTCAAAGGCCACTTTTTTTGTTTCCATTGCGTGGTCGCTATAGACAGGTTTGACTGTATAATGATTATCAAGAGATTAAGAATGTTCCTCACCTCTTGCATTCAGAGTTTCAGAGCGCATGATTGGATTGAATCGGTTAGGTTCACTGAAGGGTAGTGCTCAGTGAAGCTTGAGCATACATGCATGTATCCCCAGGCTACTCTCTAGGTGTCACATTATGCCAATGTGGATGCCGTCGTGTTGTAACGATGAATGGCGCTCTTTGTTTCCTCGTGTCTGTCCTTTTCCTTGTGCCTCATTACGTTAGAAAGCTCTTGTATGTAATTTCTTTGTGACGGGTGAAGCATAAATGTACAATCCTTATATATTTATGCATGAATATGTTCTTTGAATTATTTCATTTTGATTGGTACAGATTGGGATTTGTGAATATTTTCCTTTCGCAAAGAGCAAAGGAAGTAATTGTTTGTAATTTTATTCAATGTGATTGAATACTGCCCTCTATCTGGCTCTCATCTGTTAAAAGAATCTAATCCATATCTAAATAATGCTTGGGTTTACAATCATAAAGATATTAATCACTCCCAGAACTGACAAATGTAAGTTACTCTATTTTGACAGACACGCCCTTTCTAATACCACATTTTTGCCATTTTGAATGCTATTTCAAAGTCAATCATCCCCTGTGGTATGTCAGAAAAGGAAAGCGCTCTAGTTTTAATCTTATGTGATCACAGTCGGCTTGAATTGGCTAAAGCAATTTCCTGCATAAGGATTTATTTATCAAGAAATTGCTAACCAAATTCCTATTACTGACCTGATTTAGCTTGAGGAAGGGGAAACCCCTCTTCCCAATGAATGTAGGTCAATACCTCACTATGGTTAACCTTGTTTTAGGTAGCCTCAAGTATATTTATTTTTTATTAACCTCGTGAAGATAATTTCTAGCCATGGAACTTGTCATTTGCCCTTAAAAAAAAATGGGCTGCCTCGCGGGATTTAAAATATGATCAAAGTTTTTAGTAAATTCTTAAGTCTAGTTTTGGTTCTTCCTGAATTTTTTAGTCATGCAGTCTCACTGTTTGGTCCTGCTTGTTATTGGTGATATGGTATTTGTGATGGTACATGTAGTTTGAGTTCTTGTGTGAAAAAACGGACATCTTTCTGTAGAAGAATTGATTTAAAGTGACTTTCTGTAGCTCTTGGTTTGACGTCAATTGCTGTAGTGTTTATTGCTTACCCTACAAGTATTGTGTCAACAGAGATGGCTTAATGTGCTATTTTGCTTCTTTCTCTTTTCATTGCCACACCTATTTCTATTTTTGTAATGATTTTTTAAAAATTCTGTTTTCAACAAAAATTATAAATATGTGTGTTTAGATAATCTTTTGTGTTTTGTGTAAAAAGCATCCAGTTATACCATCAAGATCTTCATCAGCTTATGTTTTTTGGGTGCTCGGCTATAGTTTTCATTTATTTTAAGCATGTCCATAGGATTGAAAGCTAAGGGTAAGAATTAAAACCTGGAGAATGAATTAAAAAAATAAAGGAAACAAGGAACTTGGAAGAATGATGGAGATGATGAGGAAGGGAAAGTAAAGACAAGAAGTCAACCGAAAAGAGGTGGGGAAGAACAATAAGAAGATAACAGAAAAGAAGAAGAAACACAAAATGGAGAGGATGCAAGAAGAATGCAAGAAATGTTAAGTACAGAAGAAAGCTACATGAAAAGAGCTGGAAAAGAGGGAGATTAAGAGAAGAGAAGTGGAGGGAGGGAGGGAGGGAAAGGGAAAGAGAGAGAGAGATAGAGCTAGGGGGAATCTCTATAAGGAAGGAAGACGTTTAATTGCAATATTCTTGATCCAAGATGAGAGGTTGAGGACTATCTTTAATCCCAATATCATTGACACTGCAGTGGAAAAAAGAAGAAATTACTGACTGGCAAGCATGGGCAAATTAACTTGCGTTGACACAGTCCTTCCTGTGTTATGCTCTTATATCATTGTATGAGGTATACCTTTCAAAATCCATGATCTGTCATTGTGAGCGCCTTGTTAGCTCTGAAGCAATTGGTTGACACATGTTTTATTAACATTGTAATTCAAATTCACATATTACAAAAAATAGGTCTTATCTATTGGAGGATTATCATGGTACATGATTTTCGTTTTCTTTGACAAAGAAATACAGCTATTTAATTACTTCTTTAAAAATGCATAGAACAACTTCCATGAATGAATAAATTTTAAAAATATGAATATATGGGTATATACACGTCCTTTGGTCATGGAGTGGATAAAAAGAGTCTTCTTGTTTAGCCAAGACTAACTTTGTACTTTATTTGCACGGTTCTGCTACGGCAATTTTGTATTCTTGAAATAGCTTTTTAGCGACTTATTTTGGCATCATCCTATGATGCAGAAAAGACCTTTCACTCCATTGAGTGGCAGCCCACATTGTAGCAGAGATGACGAGCCAAAATAGAAGTTGACATTTGAAAATAACCTGTTCTCTTTTCTATTTTAGATGTTTGTCACATTCTTATTATTTTGTCTCTCACTTCAATGTTACACAACCCTATGCTCTTTTAGCTCAATAAATTTGTGTAAATTTTGCTGTGCCTATATTTCTGTCCTTATATTTTTGTCCTTATTCATTTTTAATCGAATCGTTTTTGATATGTTCTAGTTTGGTGTACATTGCTTATCAAATTTGATGTCAATTTGAAAATTTATTTGTGATTGCACTTTCATTTAAGTTAGAATGAGAGATATATTTCAATGTAGAAAGACACATGTTTATGACAAAGAAAGAGAGAGAGAGAGAGAGGGGGGGGGGAGGGTTGCAAGGAGAATGAGCAAGAGAGAATGAGAGAGAGAAGGAGAGAGGGCAAGAGAGAAGGAGAGAGAGAGAGAGAGGGAGAAATAGAGAGACAAAGATAGAGAAAGAGAGAAAAAGAGAGAGATATAGATAGAAAGAGAAGAGAAGAGAAAAAAAATAGTGGAAGGAGAGATAAATTGAGAAAGGGAAGAGTCGAAGGTTTGGAGAAAAGATGAACAGAAATATGACAAGATCGCGAGAGGGAGAAGAGAGAGAAGTAAGGTTCAATAGCGTAATCCTCTTAGAATGGAGCAAGGACCTCATTCTTTAAGAGCCTCTTCATTGTAGGATGGGTTGCCATGACAACATGCCAATGGGAGTGATTGTGGAGCCTCCAAGAGGGACAGGGGTTGACTAGTTGTGATCATCAATCCATATATCATGTGTACTCAACAGGATCATAGCTCTTGTGTGTGTATACACAACTTTGAGAGCAGTTTGACTGAGTACTTGATATGTTTTAAAGTAGTACGGGTGCAGTTTACATGTTTACAAGCCATTTGGGAATGGACGAGCTTTTAACAGCATTTATGAATATTTTGTGTGTCACAGGGTGAAACAAAATTTCTAAAATGTTTAGGATGGCAGCTTGTGGTGTCACATGTATGTTTAAAACTATAAATGAAAACCATATGATAAAAAAACTACTGCTACAGTTTTGCTATCACATACGATAATAAATTCCTTGATTTTCTTCTCACCTTTAGAGTTCATTCTGACGCACAATTTTCAATATTCTTGATATTTTGATTTCACATACAATATTCATTAAAAGCAGACACATCAGAAATATGGGAGGAAGAGAGCAAGAAGCGAGATAAGAGAGAGAGAGAGAGAGAGGGTTGGGGGAGGAGGGAGGGGCGAGACAGAGAGATGGATAGAGAGAAGGGGAAAGAGAGAAAGAGGTAGAGGGAGGGAGAGATGGGAAAATGTGGAGAATGAAGATTGAAGAAAGAGAAAGAGGGAGGGAGAGAAGGAAAAAGAAAGAGATGAGAAGAGGTAGAGGGAGGGAAAAGAGAGAGAGAAAGATACTGGTCGGGGAAATGGTTGGTACTTGTGGTGTAACTCTGATGGGTTGAATTAATTGTGCATGGGTGTAAGATGCAAGGAAGTGACTTGGCTGGAGGCGTCATCATTGGAAACCTCTTGAACATTGGGCAGACAGACAGCAGGGGAGAGGGAAGGGGCTGGAGGAAAAAAAAGGAATGATACTTGAACAAAATGATGTATGGGGAGAAAGAAGCTGCTGAATGAATAATGTTTGTGGTGTGGTGGCAAGTCGTTTTAACACAGTGCGTTGCTTTCTTTACTTTTTCATTATTTAGGAATGCTGCTTTTGATTTAACATCTCTTTCGTACAGTAGTCGCGACAACATTGCCATTACTTATGAAATGTTTCATGAAAATATAAATGAATGCACAAACATTATTTCAAAGTTCGACCTTTGTTCTATTCACAAGTAAAGAAATTTAATTCACTCTGTTATGAATTGAAAGAAATACCTAATATATCAGAAGGTGGAAAAAGAAAGAATGCGATGATGTAATATAATATAGAATATTTTAAAAAATCAAAAGTAAAAGTAACTATAGGCATTTTAGTGTAGTAGTTGACTGGTAGAAGAGGGGGGAAGACAGTTACTTTACAAATTATTTCAAATTATTGTACTCTGATGAAGTTACGATAAACTCTTTGATTTTAGTTTAAGTTTTACTTCAAAGTATTGCGAGAATCTGGAAAGTAGACATTTCCAGAACTTTCTCCTCATTCCTAGAAATGCAGGAATCCAACAAACATTCCTGAATGAGAGTATATAAAAGCATTGATAGATTCCTCAGTAAATAACGTCTCTAGAATAGGATGGCATCTGTTGACGGAGGGA